AATTATGCAAATTAGGTAATTAATATGCACAATTATTTACCCCCAAACTAATCAGGTCTCATCAGAAAAGTCTATTTAAAATAAATAAATTTTGTGGTTTGCAGTCTGTTATATATTCCAGAGAACAGGATGCAACAAGTTTCATTTTTCTGATAAGTGGCTATATTGAGATATCTGAAAAGTTTCTAAATTATGCAAATTAGCTATTAAATATGTATGGTTTCCACTATTCACATTTGTGGATCACTGCAGAGCATGTGTATCAATGTTCATGAAAATTTGATGAATGATTGTTGAGATATATGTAAAATATCAACAACAATAAAAATGTACCAAATTTGATTGAAATTGTTTTTTGAGATACCAGTGAAAGACGTACTAACTGCAGATACTACTAGTGTGACACCACTACCTTTGTTATTTGTGTTTCAACATCGTTTCTGTAAAAACAAGACATGAATGTCACTAGTCCTCGTCAATTAATTATAAAATAATCATGTTAAAATAATACATGGAACATCTGCAAACAGGTGAATTAATATGTACTCTATGTGGGTACAACTCATCATGAAGTGATTTTGCTTAATCTAGTATTGTACTGGTAATTGAAAACTTCCATTGACCCATGTCCAAAATCTCTGAGTACACAAGTGCAATCAAACTATGTCTCATACATGCTCAAGAAACTGCATCATAAATCTGAGTAACCTTGATGTATCTTTAATAACTTGACTTCTTTGTTAATTCAGGTCTTAATATTACCAGGACCTAGGTTCCTTTCAGTATCACTAACTGTAATTCCCATCAAAATGTAGCCCCCCCCCCCCTACAGTTTCCACTAGTATTCAGTAATGCATGTATGTATTGGGGTCTAAAAACTAACTCTGCGACGTGATTGTGCGACTCGCCGAATGTCGATTATTGCACTCTGCGACACTGCACTCTGGTCGATGTTCACTGCATGACTTGTAAAAAATTAAGTTTTAAATGGTAAAAATGGTACGGTAAAAAAACAAAGTGTGTAAAGACTATGTACCGTCGACATGCCGCACTGTTTGGTGATCGGCAAGCACATGAAAGACAAATTGTGGGACCAAACAAATAACACATGGTTTATGGTGATTAGACACATCACACCGCTGGCTAGAAAAATTAAATAGTGTAACGTGCACGTTGGTTTTGACTGCCTATTTACGGTAATATCAAAGCAATTGGACTTGCGGTTTTCAACAAGAAGTTGAAAATATCACTTTTTACCAAAAATGACAAAAATATTCACCAAAATTAGAGAATTAAAAATATCATTACAAAATGAACAAATCTGAGAGAGGTCCACATGTAGTACCTATATATGTAATATCAAAGCAATTGGACTTGCAGTTTTTAACAAGAAGTTGAAAATATCAATTTTTACCAAAAATGACAAAAATATTCACCAAAATTAGAGAATTAAAGATAGCATTACAAAATGAACAAATCTAAGAGAGGTCTACCCAAGGTACATATACACTAAGTATCAAAGCATTTAGGCTTATAGTTTTCAAGAAGAAGGCGAAAAAGTAAAACATTGACATGGACAACGGACGACAATCACTCATATGATAAGCTCCGCTCGACAAAGTCGACAGTGGAGCTAAAAACTACACTCCCCTTTTCAGACTGCATGCACCTGAAACGGGGACTAAAAATTAATATGGCATGGAACAAATATTGAACACAATGTGACGTGAAGACTAATGGCACTTTACAATCTATCACAGTAATGAGATTTGTTTCAACAGCATCTAGTGGAGGTAACATTGTTATCACAGTATCCCATATTTGTGTCATTACCTTTAGCAAAGGATCCTTTGTAGTCCATTTCAGATAAGGCGATCATACTATTACCTGGATTCATCAGGAATATCTTTTCATTGTTCATCAAATGGAACTGCGTATTCAATGAATACACTACAGGTACTGGTCGATTGGTCTGCTGGAAGGCTATTGGCACTACAAACCTGCAAACACAAACATGGTATACTGTTAAAGCTATAATCACTAATATCTATCTGATCATTGAGATTTGTCAACAAGGGTTGTCCCATTAGACTGCACGAATTGATGGTCTCTAAAGCTGGTCTCAAACACGATCTCATTTTTGGTCTTTGTGGCATCTGAGAGTCTCTAAATTGGTCTCAAATGGTATCTTCATTTGTCAGAGTCTCAAAACTGGTCTCATTTGCTGTTTAGAGGGTACCGTACATACCTCCACCAAGGCAACATAGCAAACATAAAGTTACATGAATCATCCAGAAAAAGTTCTCTTAGTATTCAGCTTTTAAGGACAGTAGCACATCCACCTGCAGGGGGGTGAGGTATCTTTGTTAATTACTTCCATGACAATTTCTTACCTGTGTGGCATATGACCTGTACATACTACAGGCATACCTGGCATTACGCCGTAAGACTGAGTTGACGTGACAGTGCATGGTATGAGTTCCATGGCATAGTCACCAGAGTAATCCTGAAAGAAAATGGAAGAACAGCATTTAATGGCAGAGTTATCTTTTGGCAACATTCCCAGAATATATTTTTTCCATACATTTTCAAATATTCTGATCAAGACCTGCAGGCAATGAGAAATGATGTATATTTGGTCCAAAATTAACAAAAAAATTTAAGTAAATACATTAAAATGTGCAAATTGTTGCACTAAAAATTTGGTGTAAAAAAATACGGACCTAAAAGTTCAAGTTATCATTGCTGAGAATGACAGGTTTAGGTAAATGTTTGTGTAGCACATGTTCAAATTTTGTGTCAACAAAGAAATTCGATGTATTTTAGATGCATTGCATACATCGCTATAGGAACCATATCAAACACAACATGGCACAATGACCACAGCAATCCTGCCTGTGAAAGTGTTAACAATGACGACAACGATGACAACAGACAAACTTACCTTTAGATTGTAGTTACTTGTTGCTCTCCATAACTGATGAGGCCCATCAAATGTCTGCTCACTCCAAAGTAAATCCAGATCAAAATTGACCCCAAGTCTAGCTGGTGGGACAATTCTTGACTGCATACCAGGAAGAGTATGGTGATCTAGCACAAATAAACCTACAACAGACAGACAGACAAGATTGCCATAAAAAGAAAACCTAAATATTGTGACCTACCATAATATTATGTATCTAATACAACTTCTGTCATTCAGCACAGGGATGATCTTATATCACAGTAATGTAGCATTTGTTTGTACTCTATAGCACATGTAATATAATAGGACAAACTGTCATACCTTAGAAATAACTTCCTGTAACTCCCTCCTTCTTTTGAAATACATTTTGTGTCAGGTGACAGTTGCATTAAATGTTACTGTTGTCTCACCTGACTTTTTTTATGTTCAATTTGCATGTGTTGACATAGAGTGCGTTTTTCACAAAACCATATCCCATGTTTCAACCACAGTTCCAAATAATTCTATCCATTAGTGAATGAATCTCAGTTAGTGGCTTTGGCCTTCTGATTGAGTGTAGTACAGACACTTGATGATGTAGTGGTCAGTCCTTTTTAGTGTTCAAAGCTGAGGTAGGATTGAAGTAAAATCTACCAATGACAAGTCTAATGCATCAACTACTACACTACCAGCGCTTCTAATCACCTTTTCCATTTGTAAATACAATTCCAAATGCACTGTTTAATTATTTTGAATTTCAAAAGACTTTCATAAAACTGCATTGGTGGAGCATAAATCACATCAAATTACACTCTCACAATTAAACACTCGCTTACCTCGAAATTTGGCTTCTGTTTTAAAGTCAATAACAAGTCTACCATCATTATCAATCCTTATATGTATGACTTGTAGTTTTCCATTCAGATCACCCTCTGTTTCTAGCCCTGTTCTCCATAACACAGTACTGGTAGAAAAAATACATAATATCATTTTTATAATTTCATACACACTTGCAGACTACAATTCAACGAATTCATCTTTATATTTCGCTTCTGTTAAGAGATCCCGTTTGACATCATCACGCTGTTTTGCATATAATATTAGACAAACATGACTAAAGCATAATGTACATCAACAAGGACAAAATCTGACAATCTTTGCTGTTTGACCAGATTGTCTGGAAACTTTGTTGCCATGATATCAAATCCATTCTCATAATTCAAAGTGAATCATCCATAGAACACTTATAACAATGCTTTTTGAAGTCTGATTTAATATCTAGACTAAACCATTGGATTTTGAATAGAAAGGGCCACATTCTAGTCTTAGTTTTATTATTATCAAACTTGTGAGTAAAAAAATTTAACACATTACATTTTACTTTAATTTATTATACTTAACATTATAATATTTTCTTTTTCTTTATTATTTCATTATTATTATAATTATACTTTGTTATGTTTCTGAAGATGCAATAAATATTATTATTATTTTACTGATTGTCATTGTCAGTAATCAAAGTACAAATTTATTAATATTGCTCACCTATAGAAAAATGAGAATTCCATTTCTGTTCTGTGATCCAAAGATGCCCAACCAGTGGGAACAGTTGAATAGATATATGCAGCATAGAGAGGCACAGTGACTGTCAAATAGCTCTGATCACCTCTTTTAATTTGGAAATCAGTTGTAACAGCGCCCCCACACAAATCAATCAGATCGGTCATGTGATACCAGGAATCAAATGTCCATGTGCAAGTTTTCAAATCAAGATGTTGATATAAAAGTAACGACTTGTCCTCCCTCACACTGGGATCAAACTGGTAAGGATAATCATAACCTGGTCCCAGTATCATGTTTTTGTAATTGACAGTTTCGAGGAACCCATTTTCTGGAAGAATTTTATCTTTGGCGCCAGTTATGATGTTCGAGCATATGTGCTGCTGTCGGTAGATGGGTTCTGTGAGTAAAAAGCGTATGTTGTGCAAAGGTAACGTAGACAGTAAAGGAAGCATGCCATCTTGATGTGGCACTTGTACAGAAACGTGGATGGTATTAGGATGTGTTTTGTCTTTGCTGTCGACGTACTCCAAGGTAGCAATGAATGACTGTGCTTGAAAATCCTGAGATATACCAGCAACAATCGGAGTGTGGCAGATTCCAAAATCAGTTGCAATTGTCACAATATTACTTCTGAGTGGAACCCCCAAATTCCCATCATTGTCTACAGGCTGGGCTACACATCGGACGTGACTTCTACGGCTGAAATAAATACTATCTAATACACGGTGGTCAACACTTGTAAACAGAGTGTTGTCTGTGATGGTGACAAATGGTGGTCTTGACCCATCTAAGTCAGTCGGTGCAGCGATTTCCCAGCCGTAATGTATAGTAGAGGAATTGATGCCAGACTCGGTGCAAAGATCACCAGTCATTGAATACGATGGATAATGAGGATCACATGGCTAGAACATTAAGCAGAGAATAAAATTTGTCACCATAGCAACACCAATTGTAAGGGTCAAGATTACCATATCTTTTGTAAGCAGTTAAATGTAAATGTCAAATATTTATTTTCAAAAGAATGAAGACGAAAATGAGTATTTTATTGTACTGTACGACTACATCATTTAGATAGGATCATTGCATAGAAAGAGATCCATGTTCATGCATAAGATACTGACCCACAATTTATATTTCATAGGAAAATATTCGTAGAAATTAGATGCACGATAAAATGGTGTGCACTTATGTTCCCAATAACTATCTTTATGTTGCAAGTACTAACCGTGACACAGATAAGAGGATATCCAGGTGAGGGGTTGTCAAGACAACCAGTTTCTACATCATCATACTGCATTAGTGACACAACCTGTACAAATTTGAAATAATGAAAATTAAAAAAATGTTCACAAGTTGCATGTGACAGAAAACAGAAAGGTTTTGGTGCATCCAACTGAACTTGAAGAAACTATTTTTGAATTATTCAA